TTCAGGGTTCAACTGATAGGGCTGTTGCAGTTGCAGAAACGGCAATAAGTGATCAAGCTAATGTTCCTCCAGCTTGCGATGCTGTGCATGGTTCAACTGATAGCGTCATTGCAGTTGCAGAAACGGCCATAAGTGATCAAGCGGATGTTCCTCCAGCTTGCAACCCGGTGCAGCGTTCAGCTGATAGCACCATTGCTGTTGCAGAAACAGTCATAACTGACCAAGCTGATGTTCCTCCAGTTCGTGACTCAGTGCCAGAAAGTAAATCTGCAACTTTGGACCCGCCTCTGGGCTGTTCAGCAGTAGAGGATGAAATCTCCGGGCATTCATCGGAGGAGAATCCAGTTATCAAGAGTTCAGTTGAATCAGAATTGGAGGATCCAAAACAAAGTGACTGAAGGTAAATCTTCTCTACGTTTTTTGTATTCCCACCGGGGAGATCGTAGCTTCATTAAATATGAATCTCTGCCGTCATTTTGCGTTAGATTTTGTATGTATATAGTATACAGATTATAGCTTAGGCCCCTCTTCTATATATATATATTAATTATGGCAATTTTACCTAATCCTCCTTCAGATCAAGACCCTTAACCTGTAGAGTAAATTGTTGAAGTGTTATGGCATTGACAGGAACTATAATATTATCAATACAATCAAGAACTTTTAACAAATTGTCCAATATTATTATTAATTTTGGCATTTGGTGTTGATATTATCGGGTTCGTTTGGTGACGTTTTTATTTCTTGTTTATGTTTTTCTTAATGAAGAAAAATAGAATTAGCATGTTTCCAACATCATTGGATTCAAGATTGATAAAATTATATTTTTAATTATGTATTTGAAAAAATTGGAAATAGCAACAAGAAACTTGTTTTTCTTGTTTTCAAACTTTCTATATATTTTTTAGAATGTTTCTGGTAAATGTTTAGAATGTTTCTAGTAATTGAGAAACAAGAAGTATAAATAGTTATCAAATGTTTAGGTTCTTTAATAAAATTGGAAACGAGAAATAAGGAACGAAAATGTTATCAAACGGATTCTACCTCATCCCTCTATTGCGTTTTTAGAAAAAAAAAAAAATATAATAAACCAAATAATAGGTCCAAACTAAATTCGTTAGGTTCGAAATTTTCTTCCTTTCTTTTTTCTATAACTATTGTTTCATTGAAACTTTTATACGAAACTATTAGATAGAGGATTTAGGATTTGTTATAGGTAAGAATATGTCCATCCATGTGGACTAGCATCAAGAGACAACATGGCAGATCGACTGGCACACGTGAGTCCTATGGAACAATTGAACCCAAGTGAGAAGGTTGACCAAAACCTATGTTAAGCCACAACTCAGGAGCCTGAACTTAGCTTGGTCGTCCACTTGGAATGTAAGACTAACTTGAATGATGATGCATGCCACGAGATAGCAAAACCCTCTTCGAAGTGTGTTGTGTGATTCTTGTAAAAAATATGCCGGCAGGATTTATATTTCTAATAGATTAAATAAAATAATGAATTAAATATTAAAAAACAAAAGAACTCGTGAAAAATGAAACAAAATGATTATAGCTTACGAGAATATATCACAAATATATTAATCCATGATGAAAAAGGAAATAATAAATTAATAAAAAGTGTTTACTAATCGTTATGAAATATAAACTTCCATAGTGGAAATAAAAATAAAAGAGAAAAAATATACAGATATATAGTAGAAATAACAAAGAAAAAAGAAAAAATATACACAGTCGAAATAAAAAAAATAAAAGCGAAAAATGAAAATGAAAAAAAAAAAGATAAAACAAAAAGATAAACATCTAGAGTAGAAATAAAAATAAAAGAGAGAAAAAATATAAATCTACAGTAGAAATAAAAAAAATTATATAAAAGCAAAAATGAAAATTAAACAAAAAAGATAGGGGCATTCCGAGAATTGAACTCGGGACCTCTCACACCCTAAGCGAGAATCATACCACTAGACCAAATGCCCATTTCTATGGCTGCTTTGGTAAGAGTTTTATATTATTTTAATATGTACTCTCTTCTTATGGATTTAGCCATGAAAAAAAAAAAAAATAGTTACTACCTTTTTATATTGGAAAAGGGTTTCGCCCCACTTAAAATTTCTTAAATTATTATATCTTATACTTAGAGAAATTGTGTTCCAAAGTCTAGGGGCACCAAAATCCAACAAAATGGTTAAAAATGGGTTTAAATTCAGCAAATTAGCCAAGCTTCTACCAGTTCGATCGATCGGTCAATGTTAGCCAAAACCCATGAGGTCGAGAGAAAGAAAGAGGTACAAGGGTGACGAAGATGAGAGGACATGCAACTTTGCAAGTTGAGAATTGGAGATTGAGCAAAAACAAGACAGTGACGATAAAATGAATATTGAAAAATACAAGTTTTTTTTTAATCAACTCATCTTTTCCGACCAAACTGAATGATCGACATCCACCGACATTTGTTTTTCTATGTTTTTCATCTTACCAAACTGAGCATAACTCAAATAGTTAACACACCTATCTCTGACCAAAAGGTTATGAGTTATAAGTAACAAGTACGATATTAAACCCTAAGATCCTAACCACCATAGTTTGAACTCATTCCTTCTAAGTTCTCTATTATTTTTTCACCAACTCCAATAACCACCTGGTCAAATTAGGGTGGTTAATGAGATATATATTTTGAAAATGAATGAATAGTCTACAAGCCTCTCTAATTATCTCATGTTCTTTGTAAATGTAATAAATAAATAATAATAACAATAAGGATCTACTGTATCTTTAATATGAGAGTATGATCTAGTGGCATATAAACAAGTGAATTTTTTAGTTTTGTATAATTTTTATGTAATCCACTTATTCATATGCTACGGGACTACACAGGAATTCAGGAGGAATTTATTCTTGAATCTATAGGAGGAAAGTTTGAAGATTTGACATCTCAGATGTTACCCAACAAGTGCCAATTTGTAATCATATTTACAGGGATGGGTGTAGTAGTTAATCATTACAATTTACCAAAGTATAATTCCACTATAAAGTGTAAAAAATCAGACATTACTCTTACATAATTTTTGTAGAGTATAGTTTTACAATATCTCCAATACTTTCAAGCACAAAATATGTTAACATTCTTGTTATGCAGCAAAACATCTTACAATATCTCACTCCGACTTTCTAACTACAACTTCACTATAAGCAAATTCTTCATGATGATCGATGCTAATTTAGACGTTCGTAAAACTCAACTTGTTGATGCCTGGATTATGCTCTTCCTGAGGTTTACGTTATATGGCCTATTTATAATCGCTTGACAGACTTCCAGAACCTTCTACATGAGCCCTAGATGATTATTGTGAAGGCCCAATGATTCGTAGATAACAGAAGAGGGAAGATGTCGAACTCGGCTCGACTCGGCGGCTCGGAGGCTCGGCTTGGCCATCTCATTGATTCTCTTTGTTCCCTTGGTTTGTTTGTTTGTGGTTTTCCTTTGTATAACAATAGCCCCCACTCTCAAGTAGAAGACATAAAGCATGTTAGGGCTTTTATATTGAGAGTATTTGTTGCTCACTCATTCCATAAGTGACTGTTTTTGTGGAATAACCCTCGTACCATCTCGTCTGGGTCGATTGTCATTTCACGGTTTGGCCTTTTTAGCCCCCATACCTTTTTTGCCATAGTCGGTCGTGGTCAAGCCTCTTGGGCTTTGCTATACAAATAATTTTAACTGTTTAGGTCCTTTGTGATACAACTTTTAGCTGGGCTAGCTGTACCCCATTGGGTTAACCTATTTGGATTTTGCCCAGGGTTTTATATTTAGGGTTCCCTCTTGGGTTTCCAATCTATTTGGCTTTTGCCAATTGCTTCATGCCCCGAGCCCAGTCGATACCCTTTTGTCTCTGTCGATTATCGTTTCTTGGGCTGGCTGTCATAGTCCCCATTTCTTTCATTGTAGTCGATTGCAATCAAGTCTCTTAGGCACTACTATACGGTTAGTTTCTACCGTTTAGATTTTGGCCTTGGGATTTAACTTCTCAGCAGAGCCAGTGGTACTCCTTTTGGGTTTCTTAACCTGTTTGGCTTTTGCCCATGCTTTATACCCCAGGGTTCACTTTAGAGTTTCTAACCTATTTGACTTTTGCCAACGATTTTCATACTCTGAGTTTAGTCGGCACCCTTGGGTTTCTAACATATTTGGCTTCTGTCGGTTTTTAACTCGAGTTCAATCAACACCCTCGGGTTTCTAACCTATTCTAGCTTTTGCTAAATGGTTTTCTACCCGTGGGTTTCATTAATCGATTTAGGCTTGTCTGCGTTTTTTTTACCTTGCTGGGCCTGTACGCCTGCCTTTTTTAGCACCTTGGGATTTTATTTCTTGGTTTTACTGATTGGCTTCTAGCTTATCGGCCTGCTTCTAGGTCTGTCCCAGCCCGATTCCTTGACCATAGTTACTCACTGGCCCCCACTTGAGGAGGTTTTGTTTAAAGTATCAAATGAAAACTTTCTCAAGCATGTCAGGGCTTTAATATTAAGAGTATTTGTTGCTCAGTCGTTCCATGAGTGACTGTTTTTGTGGAACAACCCTCGTACCATCTCGTCTGGGTTGATTGTCGTTTCACGGGTT